TGGCACAAGGCCTCAACACGCCTATGGTAAGTACAGAGTTCCTTGCTTCTTACGCTAACAACTCAAGCCCATTGTTTACTATTGTTAAACACATTAGTTTACAAACATTACAATAATAATGTTTGTGTGCAGATAAAAACTCAGCTTCATTGTTTACCAATATGAAACAAGTTCAAAGATGTTACAATAATTATGTTTGCGTGAAGATAACAACTCGGGTTCATTGTTTACCATCATGAAACGAGTTGACATGTTACAATAATTATGTTTGTGTGCACAAAACTCTTTTTGGATTTTTGGGTTGCTCAATTTCCCCTTTTTTGCTGCGCTTTTATAACGCTGCCACGGTCTACTGCCAGTCTGTGATTTCTGCTTATTTCTTAAATGCATTTCTATTGTTTCCATCGCTCACGTCACGCTATTTACTCATACGTAGTACTGCGATACTGATAGCTGTGCCATCATCGGGGATTGCTGTGCCTGTCGATGTGTGTGTGTGTGTGAGTCCATGTGTGTGTGTCAGTCGATCTGTGTGCGTGTACGTCCATGTGTATGTCAGTTCATATGTGTGTGTGTTAGTCCACATGTGTGTACATGTGTGTGTCACTCGATGTGTGTGTGTAAGTCAATGCGTCTGTGTGTGAGTCCATATGTGTGTTAATCCATGTCTGTGTATCTAAAGTAGATATCTGTGTGTCACAGTCCATATGTGTATGTGTGTGTAGGGCTATGTGTGTGTCAGTCTATGTATGTGTAAGTTCATGTGTGTGTGTCTTAGTGCATATGTGTGTAAGTACATATGTGTGTTTACATCAATGTGTGTTTTAGTCCACGTATCGATGTGTGCGAGTCGGTGTGTGTGTGTGTGAGTCGCTGTGTGTGTGTGTGTGAGTCGCTGTATGTGTGTACATCCATATATGTGTGTGTAACTCCATGTGTGTATATCTCAAGTGCATGTCTGTGTGACAGTCCACATGTGTATGTGTGTGTACGGCAATGTGTGTATCACTCTATGTATGTGTCGCTGTATGTGTGTACGTCGATATGTGTGTGTAACTCCATGTGTGCGTATCTCAAGTGCATGTCTATGTGTGTGTGAGTCCATATGTGTGTGTCTGTAAGTTGATGTGTTTGTGTGTGTCAGTCCATATGTGTGTGTGTTAGTCGCTGTGTGTGCATGCCTCCATGTTAGTCAGTGTAACTCCATTTCTTTGCGTGTCTGTAGGTCCATGTGTGCATCTTAGTCCATGCGTGTGCTTTATTGACCTGCTCAAGGCCTATAATACCATCAGTAGGCCTGGACTCTGGGTTGCTCTTCGTGCTTTCCGAGTCCCGAACCCACTCATCACCATCCTTAAGGACCTTCATGATGGTGAGCGGCCTCGCGTCAGAGCCATTCCCTTTACACCTTGGGGTGCAACAGGGATGTCCTCTGGCTCCCACATTGAATGTAGTTCGTCGAGCCTTCCATGCCTGTACCGGAAGAATTCCCATCTGGTACAGATACAATGGGAGGCTGATCGATGCCCGGGTGCGGTCAAGGGATGGATCCCTGTTGCTCAACCACGTTATGTATGCCGATGATCTGTTAATGGCTGCTCACTCGGAGGAGGAGTTCCAGGTGCTGCTGCTGAACCTGGAGCTTGCCACCAACAGGTGGGGCCTTACCATCAGCCCAACCAAAGCTAAACACCTGCCTGGCTATTTTGTACCATCGGACACTCTACCCCCACAACTCCCAATTGGTGATGGGCCAGTTGTGGAGACAGTGGAGAGTTTCCCTGGGCAGTGTGCTAATGACCGGCTCCGGTTTAACAGCAGAGGTCTCACTCCGAATCAGTCGAGCTGCAGTATCTTTTCATTGGCTGCGTAACGCTGTGTGGAAGCTACCTGGTCTGTCGCTCCGTACGAAGCTTCAGGTGTTCTCGGCCACGGTCATTCCCTCCCTTCTCTACGATTGCGAAACTTGGACCCCCCTAATGGAACATCTTCGCCAGTTAGAAACATTTAGGCTGGCCTGCCTACGATCCATCCTGGCTTTAACCAGGCTGCATTGTGTGAGGAGCTCACAAATCCTTGAAAGATGTCGACAAAGTCCCATCGGTGACCTCCGGCAGGCAAGGCTGCGTTGGCTGAGTCATGTAGCCCGCATGGCCAGCCACCACATGCCTAAACAGCTTTTGTTCCGCCGGATCGAGGGGGCTAAACGGGTGCGGCACGGGCTGGAGAAGACATGGGAGTTATGTGCTACAGGAAGACTTGGAGCTGAGTCCACTTGTGGATGACTGGTACCAGCCGTGTCAAGATCGGCCACTGTGGAGGAGGCTCCTGAAAGACGCTACTGGGCAGTTGGAGGCAGTCGCCCTCCAACAACAACGGAGGGCGGAGGAGCGACGCTCACAACAACGAGCGGAGCGCCGGGTGGCTAAAGCACACAAAGTTGCCACAGTAGGGGCCACAGGTGCTGCATCAGCCAGTCGTCTCAGTCAGTCGACCTGTGCCATCTGGGTTTGCCCCGTGACCTCTCGCCAGCGGGCGTTCGACACTTCACATGGCCTCAAGGTGCACATAGCCTGGCACAAGCGTTGTTGTGACGTCACCGCCACTTAGTGGCGAATGGCGGTTGTTGTTCAGTCTATGTATGTATGTGAGAGTCCATTTGTGCGTGTAACTCTATTTTTGTGTATCAATGGATTTGCGTGTGTAACTACATGTGTGTCTGCCTTTCTCGCCCGGGCAACGCCGGGTACTAACCGCTAGTTATTCAAAAAGCGGGAGCTACCTGTTATAAATTAATTGGAAAAGCCGTTCCGATTTACAAAACACCGTTTAACACGTAAATCGAGGGGTACCCTGTATATCACTGATGATACAGCCTCAAATGATATTGTCCACCGTATCCTGGTAACTCTGTAGTTTTCGCTCATCCGTCGTTTGTGTTGTGCAAGTACGATTTCCATTGGGTGCGAATAAAATTCAGAACCGAATGATCGGTTGTGGCTGACCGAGTTCGAGTCGGCAAGTTCCGTTTCAGTCGTTTTGTTTTTGTTGCCGCGTGTATCGCGTTACAAATTGCGAATGTACCCCGACGCGAATAAAGAATGTTAACTTCATGTATAGTGGTGACCGTGTCTGTGTGCAGAGATGGTTTATGTCTGTGTATGCACGGGAGACCCTTTAATATCACGGGGTTACCCGTCGCCTTTTTCGGCCTCTTGCGGGCAACCTCTTGTATGCCAATTGAGCTATTGCGGGGGTCTTGGCGTTTCGCGAGAGGACTGCGCCATGGTGTTGCGTGGCTGAGACCGTAGACCAGCGGTCGGGAACCTATGGCTCGCGAGCCATATATGGCTCTTCCGGTGACGGCATATGGCTTCCAGACAATTTTGAGTTGAAAATAATAATAATAATAAAATTAAAATAAAATCAGTTTGGAACTGGTTTTAAAATACTTGTGATATTGCTTAATAATAGTGTGTCATTTTAAAGTAAACAGAAATTAGTTTTGAAGTTAAAATTTCTCGGGTCACGGGTCCCGTGACCAGAAGTCGCATTAAAAGTAAGACATTTAATTTATCATACGTTAAAAATACTATATGGCTCTCAATGAAATATATTTAGAAATATTTGGCTTTTATGGCTCTCCCAGTCAAAAAGGTTCCCGACCCCTGATGTAGCCCGTGGTACAGGGCAGGCAGTCCGTGGTGCCACTCGACACACTGCTGGGGCACGCGAGGCGGTGGGGGGTGGCCAGCACCACGCGCGGGCGCCTTTGTCTCCCTCGTGGCGTCATTTACACACCGCACCAGGTACTACTTTAAAGCTGAGTCGACATAGGGGAGGTCCATGACTGGTACAGATAATAGTCACTGATGTTGGCCGTGAGCGGGAATCGAACTCGGGTGGCTGGGTTCGTCTCGAGGCGCGCGGACTGCGACATTCCCGACTTACGAACACATGGCAGGAATTGGGATGTTCGTAAGTCGAGGACTGCCCCAATGACGTGCAGGCCGTGGAACAGCGGAAGAATGATTTTCACGTAATCTCTTATTTTTAAAAATCCTTTATATTAAGTTCGCTTGCTTGCTTGCTTACGACCGTGCAAATCTTTCGGTCGTTTTTTAACCCACTTCCCGTGATCCAATCGAGCTGACATTTTCCACACAGACTCGTTGTGCGAGACAATTAATGTTCGTGAAAAAAAAGTTTAAATTTTTTTACACTTTTTAGGGAAAACAAATTAAATATTTAATTACCAATTGCTTAATACTGCAGACAATCATCTGACCCATAGGTGGCAGCCATCTCAAGCCAGAGGACGAGAGGACTCTAGCCGCCACGCATATAAAGGATTTATAGTGAAAAACTTTGTTTTTACGGGTTTACTTGTTTATTCTTTATATGGTTGGCAAATGACAAATTTAAAATCATTTTTTATATTTTAATACAAAAAAGTAACCCCAGTTACAAAGGTCAACGGTAACCCGCCAATGACGCCAAATTTAATTATTTATAAAGATACTTCTTTACACCGACGCATGTTAAATGTTTTGTGGTATTGATAACAGTTAATAATCGTTGAGCAGAACCGTAAGAGATCTATGTTCATTACAAAAATAAGCAAATAGTATTAACCTTTTATAGAACTCAGCCGCTTCCGTTACTCGTGCAAATGACGTCCGCAATGCTGATGCAATACAGGATCGCAATTCGCTGTCCTCGAAATTCCAAAAATGATTTATTTATCTGTGCGAAGGCAATCCATGACACTATTATCCAACAAACTTTAACCAGCCCGTCACAAACCAAATAAATAACATTTAAACTTAATATTTTAGAATATAAAAGATAACTTCCGCCCGAGATTCGAAGAAGCCGGAAGTGACGTCACGTCTTCAAAAAGGGCGGGAAAGCGTTGCCCACCCACCGCTCGCTCGCGGTCTGAGGGGGAATCGCGAAACCCGATCAAGTTTTAAGAACCGATAACCGAATAAACAAACAAGGGGGGGGGGACAATGTACATCAAGGCGATCGTGCTGGACGGCTTCAAGTCGTACGCCCAACGCACAGAGATCTGCGACTGGGATCCGCTGTTCAACGCCATCACGGGGCTCAATGGAAGCGGCAAATCCAACATCCTGGACGCCGTTTGCTTCGTGCTCGGCATCTCCAACCTGTCTCAGGTGAACCTAGTCTGGCACCAGGGTTTGTGTGAACCTTGCCCGGTACCAGTAGGAGAGCGAGCGTGAAGAAAGTGCGTGTGTGAGGATAGCGGTAGAGTGTCAGACGGTGTCTCTGCGAGTCCACGGCGCGGTGTGTAGTAAACATCGCCAGCACTGGGGAGACAAAGGCGGCCGGGCGTGGTGCTGGCCGCCCACCCGCTCGTGTGCCACAGTGCCGGCCTTCATAGGTGCTACTCGCTAACAGCACTTGCCCCTACAGTTTCTTCAGGCTATACGGGGGATCTTTGTCTCTGTGTGTTCACCTAGCCTGGTGCAGTGTGAGGGAGAGGGCGTGCTTCGTGCTGAGCATCTTAAACCTGTATCAGGCGAACCTAGCCTGGCACCAGAGAGTGTGAGTGGTGTGTGCACCTAGCCTGGTACCAATGAGAGGGAGAGTGTGAGAATGGCGGGTGAGAGAGCAAGAGAATGAGCAGAGCGGGAGTGTGTACGTGAACCTAGCCTGGCACCAGGGTGAGGGAGAGATTGTGAGAAGTGCTTGATTGTGTGTGAACCTGGCCTGACACGAGAGAGACAGTGTGCACCTAGCCTGGCACTAGTGTGAGGGAGAGTGTGTGCTTTGTGCTGGGCATCTTCAACTTGTCTCAAGTGAACCTAACCTGGCACCAGTGAGAACGAGAGTGAGGAGAGTGGGAGTGTGTGTGTGTGTGAACCTAGCCTAGCATCAGTCAGAGAGTGTGTGTGTGTGAACCTAGCCTAGCATCAGTCAGAGAGTGTGTGTGTGTGAACCTAGCCTAGCATCAGTCAGAGAGTGTGTGTGTGTGAGCCTAGCCTAGCATCAGTCAGAGAGTGTGTGTGTGTGAACCTAGCCTAGCATCAGTCAGAGAGTGTGTGTGTGTGTGTGAACCTAGCCTAGCATCAATCAGAGAGTGTGTGTGTGTGTGAACCTAGCCTAGCATCAGTCAGAGAGTGTGTGTGTGTGAACCTAGCCTAGCATCAGTCAGAGTGTGTGTGTGTGAACCTAGCCTAGCATCAGTCAGAGAGTGTGTGTGTGTGAACCTAGCCTAGCATCAGTCAGAGAGTGTGTGTGTGTGAACCTAGCCTAGCATCAGTCAAGAGAGTGTGTGTGTGTGAACCTAGCCTAGCATCAGTCAGAGAGTGTGTGTGTGTGAACCTAGCCGAGCATCCAGTCAGAGAGTGTGTGTGTGTGTGAGAGCCTAGCCTAGCATCAGTCAGAGAGTGTGTGTGTGTGAACCTAGCCTAGCATCAGTCAGAGAGTGTGTGTGTGTGTGTGAACCTAGCCTAGCATCAGTCATGAGAGTGTGTGTGTGTGTGAACCTAGCCTAGCATCAGTCAGAGAGTGTGTGTGTGTGAACCTAGCCTAGCATCAGTCAGAGAGTGAGTGTGTGTGAACCTAGCCTAGCATTAGTCAGAGAGTGTGTGTGTGTGAACCTAGCCTAGCATCAGTCAGAGAGTGTGTGTGTGTGTGAACCTAGCCTAGCATCAGTCAGAGAGTGTGTGTGTGTGTGAACCTAGCCTAGCATCAGTCAGAGAGTGTGTGTGTGTGAGCCTAGCCAAGCATCAGTCAGAGAGTGTGTGTGTGTGAACCTAGCCTAGCATCAGTCAGAGAGTGGTGTGTATGTGAACCTAGCCTAGCATCAGTCAAGAGAGTGTGTGTGTGTGAGCCTAGCCTAGCATCAGTCAGAGAGTGTGTGTGTGAGCCTAGCATCAGTCAGAGAGTGTGTGTGTGTGTGAACCTAGCCTAGCATCAGTCAGAGAGTGTGTGTGTGTGCCTAGCATCAGTCAGAGAGTGTGTGTGTGTGAACCTAGCCTAGCATCAGTCAGAGAGTGTGTGTGTGTGAACCTAGCCTAGCATCAGTCAAGAGAGTGTGTGTGTGTGAACCTAGCCGAGCATCAGTCAGAGAGTGTGTGTGTGTGAGCCTAGCCTAGCATCAGTCAGAGAGTGTGTGTGTGTGAACCTAGGCTAGCATCAGTCAAGAGAGTGTGTGTGTGTGAACCTAGCCTAGCATCAGTCAGAGAGTGAGTGTGTGTGAACCTAGCCTAGCATCAGTCAGAGAGTGTGTGTGTGTGAACCTAGCCTAGCATCAGTCAGAGAGTGTGTGTGAACCTAGCCTAGCATCAGTCAGAGAGTGAGTGTGTGAACCTAGCCTAGCATCAGTCAGAGAGTGTGTGTGTGTGAACCTAGCCTAGCATCAGTCAGAGAGTGTGTGTGTGTGAACCTAGCCTAGCATCAGTCAAGAGAGTGTGTGTGTGTGAACCTAGCCTAGCATCAGTCAGAGAGTGTGTGTGTGTGAACCTAGCCGAGCATCAGTCAGAGAGTGTGTGTGTGTGTGAGCCTAGCCTAGCATCAGTCAGAGAGTGTGTGTGTGTGAACCTAGCCTAGCATCAGTCAGAGAGTGTGTGTGTGAACCTAGCCTAGCATCAGTCAAGAGAGTGTGTGTGTGTGAACCTAGCCTAGCATCAGTCAGAGAGTGTGTGTGTGTGAACCTAGCCTAGCATCAGTCAGAGAGTGTGTGTGTGTGAACCTAGCCTAGCATCAGTCAGAGAGTGTGTGTGTGTGAACCTAGCCTAGCATCAGTCAGAGAGTGTGTGTGTGAGCCTAGCCTAGCATCAGTCAGAGAGTGTGTGTGTGTGAACCTAGCCTAGCATCAGTCAGAGAGTGTGTGTGTGTGAACCTAGCCTAGCATCAGTCAGAGAGTGTGTGTGTGTGAACCTAGCCTAGCATCAGTCAGAGAGTGTGTGTGTGTGAACCTAGCCTAGCATCAGTCAAGAGAGTGTGTGTGTGTGAACCTAGCCTAGCATCAGTCAGAGAGTGTGTGTGTGTGAACCTAGCCTAGCATCAGTCAGAGAGTGTGTGTGTGTGAACCTAGCCTAGCATCAGTCAGAGAGTGTGTGTGTGTGAACCTAGCCTAGCATCAGTCAGAGAGTGTGTGTGTGTGAACCTAGCCTAGCATCAGTCAGAGAGTGTGTGTGTGTGAGCCTAGCCTAGCATCAGTCAGAGAGTGTGTGTGTGTGTGTGAACCTAGCCTAGCATCAGTCAGAGAGTGTGTGTGTGAACCTAGCTTAGCATCAGTCAGAGAGTGTGTGTGTGTGAACCTAGCCTAGCATCAGTCAGAGAGTGTGTGTGTGTGAACCTAGCCTAGCATCAGTCAAGAGAGTGTGTGTGTGTGAACCTAGCCTAGCATCAGTCAGAGAGTGTGTGTGTGAACCTAGCCGAGCATCAGTCAGAGAGTGTGTGTGTGTGAACCTAGCCTAGCATCAGTCAGAGAGTGTGTGTGTGTGAGCCTAGCCTAGCATCAGTCAGAGAGTGTGTGTGAACTTAGCCTTGATGCAGCTAATCTGGCTGTGACGGTCCCACCTGATGACGGAGACTTGTGTTGCCTCCGAAACGTCGTGATCTTTATTTTATTTTTTATTAATTTTGATGTTTTACCTACGTGACTTTACCGAAAAAACCTAGGAATATGAATCCTTGCAGTCACGAAAGCTTCAAATCTAGAATTAGCCTTGTATCGTTTAACACGTAGAATTTCGCGACCAATATCAATAATACATGTTTTTTTGCGTTGGATCGAAAGGTTTTGGGTTAGATTGATCGTGAGAGTGTGTGTGCGAACCTCGCCTGGCACTATGGTGAGGGATTCATATTCCTGGTTCTTTCGGTAAAGTCACATAGAAGGGAAATAAAATAAAACATAAAATTATCACGACGTTTTGGCCACAACGCAAGCAGGTGAAGAATCAGAGCTGTCGGAAAGACAGCGTCTTAATGAACACTGCTAAGCTTGGCAGCGTATTTTAAGCTGGGTGGGAGGAGGAGAGCGCCTTGACAAAGGAGTTTACATATCAACAGAGGAATTTAGCATATTGATGACATGCAGATATGGGGTTAGTCACTCCTTACGGAATGTGTAGGCGGTGGGGGGTCTCAAAGTCATATTATGCTCGTGTGTTATGTAGGATTAGCAGTAATAAAGGTAGGTACATTTTAATAATAAAAAACTGCGGCAGCCAAACCACCGCGTATCAAGTTAGTGCATTACGTGGAAAAAAAAGAAAGGCGTTTCTGAAGAACTATAAATACCATAACTATCATACAATAAACCGATGTGAAAACAAACCCTAAATATAAACTACATCAATATAATCAATGTACTCAATATACTTTCCAATAAGCTGAGCTATTCACATTAAGTAACTGGGTATACACTACACTATATAATGAATACCATATAGTGAACCGATAAAAAACTAAAATATAAACTACATCAATATAATCAATATACTCTCTAATAAGCTGAGTATACATGTCAACAGAGGAATTTAGCATATTGACGCTAAATAACTGCAATTACCACTACTACCATACAATAAGCCGATGTGAAAAAACTAAATATCAATATAATCAATGTACTCAATCGAAATGTATGGTGAGGGAGTTAGTGAACCAAGCTAGGTACCTGTGAATGAGAGCGAGTGTGAGGGTGACCCAAACGTCAGGACATTATTATACAGTGTAGCCCAAAGTCAGGTCACATTAGATTATTATTATTGTACAGGGTGGCCTCACATTAGGTTATTATTGTACAGTGTAGCCCAAAAGTCAGTACACATTGGGTTATTATTGTAATGGGTTCCGGAGACACTTGCAGAGGTAACTTCTTTATTACAATCCAACACTCCAACATTCCAACTCTCCAACTCTCCAACAGTCCTGATACTCTGTTCCAGCCTAGGTACACAGCCTAGATACTCTACTCTGGCTACGCTCTGGAACTCGCCCTCACAAGGTCGTAGAGTCGGGAGTTACAGAGTCCCACCACTGGCCCTCACAGCGTCCCAGGGTTCTCAGATGGCTGTCTTGGGTCTTGGGTCTTGAGCTACAACTGGCCCTGATCGTCCAGGGAGCTCCCCTTTTATGCCTAGTCCCCAACGAGGGGTGGGGCCGTGTGCGCCCCCAGATATCCCACAGAGCACACACAGCCCCCCCTGTTGGTGGCGCCAAGGGGCCCAAGCGCCTGGGCCGCCCAGGGTCCCAGAGCCCCCAGCAGCCCCTCCTTTCTTATGTCACTACATTATTATTGTACAGTGTAGCCCAAAAGTCAGTACACATTGGGTTATTATTATTGTACAGTGTAGCCCAAAGTCAGTACACATTGGGTTATTATTATTGTACAGTGTAGCCCAAAAGTCAATGCACATTGGGTTATTATTTTCCAGGGTGGCCCAAAAGTCAGGATACAGGGTTATTACACAGGGTGGCCCAAAAGTCATGACACATAGGGTTATGATTATACATGGTGGCCCAAATTCAATTGGTCTCCGCTCGATAAGCGAACATTTTGCTTGTTTTGCTTACAAATGGGTCTAATTTGCTCGTTGTAGCGAATTGTTGTAGAAAGAACACTCTTTAAGCGAGACGTGCCTGTACGGGGTGGCCTTAAATTCAGGACACATTGGGTTAATTCGTATATTTGAACACATTTTCAAACTGACTTTCATTATTAACATTATCAGAATGCATGAATTTTCTTTTGAAATTAATTTACAAGTGTAATCTTTGAGCATTCTCTTTCTCTCTGTGCCTCTCTCTGTCTCTCTGTGTCTCTTCCTCCCCCTCTGTCACTGCCCCTCTCTCTGTAGGTGAGAGCAGCAAGTCTGCAGGAGCTGGTCTACAAGAACGGCCAGGCTGGCGTTACAAAGGCAACCGTCTCCATTACATTCGACAACCGTGACCGGAAACAGAGCCCCCTGGGGTTCGAAGGCCATGCGGAAATCACCGTCACCAGACAGGCACGCACACCCTTGCCTTTACTCATCCACTCGCTCACTCACCCGCTCACTCACCCACTCGCTCACTCACCCGCTCACTCGCCCACTAACTCACCCACTCACTCACCCACTCACTCTCACTCACTAATTCACCCGGAGAGAGAGGACCACGCGGAGATCCCGGTCACCAGACAGGGACGCAGCGCTTTAAATGTATCTGTGTATTTGTGTGTGCGCATATATATGTACGTGTGGGTGGGTGTGTGTCTCTGTGTCTCAGTGCCCCCTTGTGTCTCTCTGAGTCTTTGTCTGAGTGTCTTTTCTGTGCAGGTGGTGATTGGAGTCTTAGTGTCTCTGCATGTGTCTGCTCTGCCTGCCTCCTCTGTGCAGGTGGTGATTGGCGGCAGGAACAAGTATCTGATCAACGGGGTGAACGCCACCACGGCGCGTGTGCAGGACCTCTTCCGCTCTGTGGGCCTCAACGTCAACAACCCCCACTTCCTCATCATGCAGGTACCTCCTCAACATCACCACTAACACCACCATTACCACCATCATCACCACCGTCATCACCACCATCATCACCATCAATGTCAACAACCCTCACTTTCTCATGCAGACACCTCTTCAACATCATCACCACCGTCATCATCATCACCACCATCAACGTCAACAACCCCCACTTCCTCATAATGTAGGTACCACCTCTACATCATCAATATCATCAGCATCATCGTGCAGGTTAGACTATTATCTCTTGCTCATGAAGGAGATGAGTGGTGAGTGGGTGGTGAGTGAGTGTTTTCTTGTTTTGCAGGGTCGCATCACCAAGGTTTTGAACATGAAGCCTCCTGAGGTGAGGCATTTGCCCTTGCCACCACTCGCCCTTTCCACCATTCACCCACTCATCGTGTCCACCCCTCACCACTGCTCACCCTCATCTCCTCACCTCTCCAGATCCTGGCAACGATTGAGAGACTGCAGGGACTCGTAGCTCTTCTCCTCACCTCTGCTCCTCACCTCTCGTCTCCGCACCTCTTCCCACAACTCCTCACCTTTCCCCACATCTCTCAGTGTCTCTTTTTTCCTCAGCGTCCCTTCCTTTCCTCAACCCCTCTCACCCCCCCTCACCTCACCCCAGATCCTAGCGATGATTGAGGAGGCTGTAGGGACCCATATCTCTGCTCCTCACCTCTCGTCTCCTTACCTCTGCTCCTGACCTCTCCTCACCTCTCCCCAACATCTCCTCACCTCTCCCCATGTCTCTCCTCGTCTCTCTATTCTGTCTCCTCGTCCCCACCCCTCCTCGTCTCTCCTCCTCACCTCTGCCCCTCACCTCACCCCAGATCCTGGCGATGATTGAGGAGGCTGCGGGGACCAGGATGTATGAGAGCAAGAAACTGGCAGCGCAGAAGACTATCGAGAAGAAGGAGGCCAAACTTAAGGAGATCAACGACGTGAGGGGACCTCTCGCTCACCACCTACGCTCACCACCTACGCTCACCACCTACGCTCACCACCTACGCTCACCACCTACGCTCACCACCTATGCTCACCACCTATGCTCACCACCTACACTTACTATGATCCACTTGCCACGAGTGACCCCTATGATCTCATGACCCCTGTCTCCATTTTTCCAGGTTCTGGAGGAGGAAATTTCTCCAACGCTGGAAAAACTCAAACAGGTGAGGCACCGACACTTGCTATACACTGGCAACTCACTCGCCACCCACTCGCCACACACTCACCACTTTCCCCTCCCGCTTCATCCCCAGGAGCGCACCTCCTACCTGGAATACAGCAAGCTGTGCCGGGAGCTGGATTCTCTCCGGCGCCTGGTGATCGCTCACCAGTTCTTCACGGCGAGCCAGGGCCAGGAAAACGCCGCTCTGCACCTCCAGAAGCTGCGTACTGATGAGCAGGAGGCGCGAGAGGAGGTAGAGAGGCTGGAGGAGGAGGAGAAGAAGAGGGAGGGAGAGCTGCGGGAGATGGAGAGGAAAAGGGACAAGGTGAGGATGAGTTGGGGGGAAGAGGAAGAGGGGGAGAGAGAGGTAGGGAGGGAGGGAGAGCTGTGGGAGATGGAGAGGAACATGGTGAGTGTGGGTGAGGGAAGAAGAGGGGGAGGGAGGTGATGTTAATAATGTTGATGATGGTGATGTTGATGGTGTGTAGGAGGCAGGAGGGATCTGTCCCGTGTGGAGGAGGCCCTGACCCAGGCCCAGCGTGCCCACGCCAAGGCCCAGAGCACCCTGGACATCCGCACAGAGGCCCTGGCTACGGAGCAGGCGCACAGGGAGCAGCTGCTCGCTCACATGCAGGAGGTACCTCCTCGCCGACCTCGGTCACCTCCCTAACTCACCTCTCTCTCACCATGTCTCTCTCTGCAGGCCACATCTCATCCAATCTTTAGTTTCAAACGTCAATTCATGTTTTACTTGTGATATTCAATAAAAAAAATAATTTAGGTAAACTACCGCGATTAAACTACCCCAACATCTAAATACCGCCCCCCCCTAAAAAAACCTTATTGCTGCGTTTAAAACAAGTATTTTTATGTTCAGATAATATGAATCATCGTATTACTGATATTTAGAGAGATAAGTGAATGTGTTTTGTGACCAGGTGTATGGGGCTTGGGTGGTCTGTGGAAATGTTTTGCTGAGTGGTCCGCAGGCCAAAAGCTGTTTGAGAAACGCTGCTCTAGACGAGGTGAACTTCACCTCCGGGCTCGCAGGTCGTGTCTCGCTCACAGTGTCTCCCCCTCTCTCGCCCCTTCTCTGCCCCCAGGACGCCAGTGCCCGCGACGCCAAGCGCTCCCAGGTAGTGGCGCTGGAGGCGGCGCTGGCGTCGGCGTTGGCATGCTCCCAGGAAGCGGCGAGGGGCCTGCAAGAAGCTCAGGCGCGCTTCGCGGCGGCCTCGGTGGGCCTCTCGGAGGATGGGCAAGGCGGCCACGCCGCCACGCTGGCCGAGCAGATCCTGAAGTGCCGCCAGGAGGCCAGCCAGGCCCAGACTGAAGCTGCGCAGGCAAGGGAGGAGGCCTCTGGGCCTACTAACTCGTGCATTCACCCACCCGTTCTCATTCGCCGTCCTGGAGTACCCACTCGACAACCCACCCCAACCCCGTGCCCCACAGGCTCAGATGAAGCTGTCCCACGTGCAGCGCGAGCTGCAGCAGCGCAAGGCGGAGGAGGGCCGCACCACGGAAGCCTACACTCGCGACCAGCAGGCTCTGTCTCGCTTGAAGACCCGAGCCCAGGGCCTACTCAGGGACATGGCCGCCCTGGGCTACACGGGTAACACGGGGGGTGGAGGAGAAAGGGGAGAGCGTGCAGGAGAGAGTAACGGAGGGAGGGGAGGGGAGAGGAGCGACTCTGGGTGGGGGGGGGAGAGGGGCGACGTGGAGGGGTTAACGTGCTGCGCTACTACGAACCCGGCAACCCGAGTTTGATTCCCGCTCACGGCCAACACCAGTGACAATTATGTGATCCCTCATTGACCTCCCCTAAGTTGACTCGGCCTTAATTGAGTACCTGTGAATGTCACCATCAAGGGAAACGGGAGGTCTGGTGTGGTGCTGGCCGCCCACCCCCTCGTGTACCACGCAGACCTTAGCAGCACTTGCCCCAACACTGTTGAGGCTATATGGGGGAGCTTTGTCTTTGAGTCTCTGTGTGTTACTCTTTGGTTTTTTCGGACTCTTGTGTTGCGCCCGAAACGTCGTGATTTAATTTAGTTGTGTTCATTTATTTAATTACATTTTTTACCTACGTGACTTTACCGAAAAAACCAAAGGGTATGAATCCTTGCAGTCACGAAAGCTTCAAATCTAGAATCTCTGTGTGTTATTATGCGAGTGGGAAACGGTGGTTAGTGGTTAGCATGCTGCGCGACTATGAACTCAGCAGGAAACCCAAGTTCGATTCCCGCTCACGGCCACCACCACAAGTGGTAATGGTAACGGCAGCAATTATCTGAACAATCGGTCCTGGGCCTCCTCCCCAAGGTCAACTCGGCCTAAAATGAGTACTTGGTGCAGTGTGCAGTAAATATCGCCACTGGAGCAGCTGTGTGTGGCTGTTACCATGGAGACATTGGAGAGGCGAAGCTTAACTACACTATAAACTAAACTATATTTATTTTACCAGGTAAGGCCCCACTGAGCTATGTAGCTCTTTTTCAGAATCGACTTGGCTATAAAAAATGATAGCTCAACGAAGTGGCTTATCACGTGGAAATTTATAGCGTCCAATACTCTAAAGGGGTGATGTTGATTCTAAATGTTGAATGGAAAAACTGGAGGTCCCGGAGAAAAATCCATGCGACCACGGGGAGAGAAACGTGCAAACTCCAAATATACAGCAGGTGTCAGGTTTGGGATTGAACCCACGACTTCCTGTACACCAGGCGAGGTAGTTAACATAACAGGCGGTGTCCAGCTGTAGAGGGGCAGCTGTGTGTAACTGTTATCATGGAGACGGTAGGGAGGCTAACAGGCGGTGTCCGGATGTAGAGGGCCAGCTGGAGATGCTGCAGAAGAAGATGAAGGAGCTGGCCGCGGAGGAGTCGGCGATGAGAGAAAAAGTAGACCGGGCGGGTCGCCAGCATGCCCCAGCTCCAGTTTGATTACCGGTGGGTGGATCTATTAATCACCTGCTCAATCATTTACCCATTCACTTGCTCCATCGCCACCACACCCCAGCTCTAGTTTGACTACCGGTGGGTGGGTCTGTTGCTAGCTCACTCACCCACTCGCTCATTCACCCACTCACTCACTAAACTACCCACCCACTCATTCACCTGCTCGCTCATTCACCCACTCATTCACCTGTTCGCTTACTCACCCACTCGCTCATGGTCTTACGCGCTCACTCATGCGCTCCCTCACTCGTTTGCTCGCTAACTCACTCGCTCCCTCACTCACTCGTTCACCTTGCTCACTCACACACTCACCTACCCATTCACCTGTTAGCTCGCTCGCCTCGCTCACTCGCTCACTCACTACTCTCCCTCTTTTCGTGTTGCCTCCTCTCTCTTCACTCCTCACCCTGCTCCCCACCGCCATGCTCGCGCGTGCCCTGTGCAGGGACCCCGAGCGGGGCTGGGACCGTGGCCGTGTGCGGGGCCTGGTGGCGTCTTTGCTCCGCGTGGAGGATCCTGCATCCGCCACTGCTCTGGAGGTGGTGGCCGGGGGTAAACTCTACAACGTGGTGACTGACACCGAGGTGAGCGCCACGCTCACCCATGCTCGCCCACACTCGCCCACACCCATCCACCATCGTGGAGGTGGTGGCCGGGGGTAAACTCTACAATGTAATGACCAACACCGTGGTGAGCGCCCAGTCCTCACTCACGCTCACCCACCCTCACCCGGTGAGTGGCTCACCCATGCTCGCTCGCACTCACCGGGGCGAGCAGTCGGTGAGTGAGTTTCTCCGTCTCCCTCCCTGTGTGTCACCGTGTCTCTCTCACTGTGTTGCAGTTGACAGGGAAGCTCCTGCTGGAGCGTGGCTGCCTACGGCGCAGAGTCACGGTGATTCCGCTGAACAAGATCAGCCCCAGCGTCACCCCCCCCAGCGTCACCACCATTGCGCGCAGCCTCGTGAGCACCCTGCCGTGTCTCCCCTCCGTGTCTCCTCACCGTGATCTCCCCGTGTCTCTCTCCTCACCCCCGTGATCTCCACGTGTCTTCTATGTCCCCGTGTCTCCTTCCCGTGTCCCTGTCTCCTCACCCTCCGCATCTCTCTCCTCACTCACCATGTCTCCCCCCTCACCCCCCGTATCTCCCTCCTCACCCCCCCACGTCTCACCCCCCTGCGTCTTCCCCCCCTCACCCCCCGCATCTCACCCCCCGCGTCTCACCCCTCCCGTCCCTGCGTCTTCCCCCCCCCCCCTCATTCCCCACATCTGACCCCCCACGTCTCCCCCCTCACCCCTTCCGAGTCTTCATCGTCACCCCCCCCCCTGCGTTTCCCCACTCTCCCCTGCCGCATCCCCCCAGGCGGACGGTGTCTCTCCCGCGCTGTCCCTCGTGTCTCCGCGCTCTCCCTGTGATCTCCCTGCGCTGGAGTTTGTTTTCGGCGCGGCGTTCGTCTGCCCGACGATGGACGCGGCGCGTGCCGTGGCCTTCGACCCTCGGGTGTCCACGCGGGCGGTGACGCTGGACGGGGACTCCTTCAGTCCGCACGGCACACTCACTGGGGGGGGCGCGGGCACAGGTAGGTCACTCGCCACCACCACGCTTGCCACCACGCTCACACCACTATTACCATCACTCGCCACGGGGGCAGCGACGCTGGATGGAGGCTTCTTCAGCCCACACGGCACGCACACGAGTGGGGGGGCGGGCACAGGTGGGTCGCTCACCACCACCACACTCACTACTATCACCGCCACGCTCACCACCCCCCCTGGGTGTGCAGGTGGTGAGCGTGCTGGTGAGAGTGGAGCAGCTGCTCACCCTGCAGGATAAGCTTAAAGAGTTGGAGGAGAAGGGGAAGAGGATGGACGAGGAGGCTCGCACACTCACCAAGCTCGCAGAGAGGTGAGCGTGGTGAGGGGGCAGGTGAGGACTTGTGGAGGGGAGTGATGGGCTAGGAATGTGGTGGAGAAGGGGTGGTGAGGAGTGGGGAAGAGGCTTCCTCGCTCACCCAGCTCGTCGAGCGGTGGGGGGGTCAGGAACGTGATGAAGAGTGTGGGGAGGTGGGTTGAGATGAGGAGGGGTGTAGGGAGATGAGTGGGTGGTGGGAGGGTAGTGCAGGAGCATGGTGAGGAGTTTGGAGAGTGGGGGTGAGGAGCGGAGGAGGATGAAGGAAGCTCGCACACTCTGCCAGCTTGCGGAGCGGTGCGGAGTGTAGAAGGGGAGGCTGGATGAGGAGTGTAAAGGGTGTTGTGGGGGGATAGGAGCATGGTGAGAGCAGGAGTGGAGTGGGGAGGAGAGTGACTGTGTCTATCCGTTTCTCTTTCTCTTTCAGGCACCGTGAGCTGTGCCAGCAGCAGGAGTTGGTGGCGCAGGAGGTGGAGCAGCTGCAGCAGAAGCTGGAGCTCAGCACTCACCACAAGCTCCAGACGGAGCTCGCCGCGCTCGCCACCTCCATCGGTGAGCCACTCACCCATCCACTCACCCATCCACTCACCCAGACACTCACCAGACACTCACCCAGACACTCACCCAAGACACTCACCCATCCACTCACCCATCCACTCACCCATCCACTCACCAGACACTCACCCATCCACTCACCCAGACACTCACCCAGACACTCACCCAGACACTCACCCATCCACTCACCCATCCACTCACCCATCCACTCACCCATCCACTCACCCCAGCCACTCACCCATCACTCACCCATCCACTCACCCAGCCCTCACCTACATCACCCATCCACTCACCTATCCACTCACCCATCCACCACCCAGACACTCACCCAGACACTCACCCATCCACTCACCCAGACACTCACCCAGACACTCACCCAGACACTCACCCGACACTCACCCACGACACTCACCATCATCACCCAGACACTCACCCAGACACTCACCCAGACACTCACATCCACTCACCCAGACACTCACCCAGACACTCACCATCCACTCACCCAGACACTCACCATCCACTCACCCGACACCACAGCCCACTCCACCACCACTCACCAGACACTCACCCAGACACTCACCCAGACACTCACCCACTCACCCAGACACTCACCCAGACATCACCCAGACACTCACCCATCCACTCACCCAGCCACTCACCCATCCACTCACCATCCACTCACCCATCCACTCACCCAACACTCACCCAGACACTCACCCAGCACTCACCAGACACTCACCCAAGACACTCACCATCCACTCACCCAGACACTCACCCAGACACTCACCAGACACTCACCAGACATCACATCCACTCACCCAGACATCACCATCCACTCACCCAGACACTCACCATCCACTCACCCAGACACTCACCCAGACACTCACCATCCACCACCCAGACACTCACCCAGACACTCACCCACTCACCCAGACACTCACCCAGACACTCACCCAGACACTCACCCAGACACTCACCCATCCACTCACCCAGCCACTCACCATCCACTCACCCAGACATCACTATCCACTCACCCAGACACTCACCAGACACTCACCACACTCACCCAGACA